GTATTTTGGAATTTGTGCTATTTTAATTAAATATAAATTAATCTGGACATTGAAAAACAACATTGTAGTTCAATAAATATCTTAAAATAGTGTTTTACACATTTCTTTTTAATTTGATTACCTTTTGGCAATGTGAAAATTTGCTTAGTAGAAAGTTCAATTATTATTGTTATACAATTCTATGCAATTCTGATATGTGTTTAGTTTTTCTTTAATTATTCATAATTTTATGAAATATATGTCTATGTTACGAGATATAAGCATATATATGATTGAAAAATATATGATGGGAGTTGTAAGGTGTTAGAATCCTATGAGATTCTATTTGTGTCAGAGAATATTCTGGTGCCTATAAGGCATATTCTGATGGCTATAAGCCATGTTTTGGTGCCTACGGTCATGTTTTAGTGCTATGAGCGCAAAATGAATACATAAGGGGTCAGAATTCTTTGAGATTTTGTCTGGAATCGGGATATGAAATATAAATATGTTATATGATATAAATTATTTTATGTTTTATCTACTTATGATGTTGAACTGTTCAATATTATTAATTGATGAACTGTTGTAACTCACTGTTGATTGCTTGTGGTTTTCAGGGTCTGGGAAAGGGAATGAGACTGTTAATTAGCAGTTTATACAGTCACGGCTTGTTTATTTTTCATACTGTAGCTTTTGCCTGTAAACATGTACTATAGTATATATATTGGTAAAATAAAAGAACCATTGTGGATGAGATTATTTTTAGTATTTTAATGTTTTAGTAGCTATGTTGTCTATAGTTTAATTTGAATTGAAATTGAAAAAGACTGCGCATTTCAAAACTAGATCTTAAGAATTATCTGTCATAGCTCAACACGATAGGATCTATCCTGATCGAGTTGGGATGTGACTGAACACTGCATTATATCTCTTATAATCTACTACTGCGATTGAACTCACTATGTTATATCAATCTTTTAGCTTGTTGTATTATGATTTATGAAACCAAATTCACAAACATATAATGTATACATACTAAACAAAGGAGATTAGACAAAAGCAAATACACAACTAGGTTTACATTAGTGCTATGCACATATTCAAGGTGTTTCAAACATCTGCAAACGCCCTAAGTATTATTTTAATTAAAATAGAGGTTATTTGGATTTTAAAAATTAAATATTCAATTAAATTCTATGAAAGTATTTTTCTCACAATCCTTTAAGTAAAGAGGAATTTTTAGTGAAAATTTCATAGCATTTAGCCTTATGGATCACCCATAACAAATATTTTAAGGAAATTATAGAATTAATTGGTTGTTCTAATCAAAACCATTGATTCATGTTAAAAACAAATCAATGGTCATGATTTCATCTCTAAGCTTAGAGCCATACTCTAACTAAAGAATCAAGTTATCAATCTGATGTTGACGTGATTGATTTAGGCTTCATTTGGGACGACTTTTTTATTGCTTTCTAAAACGGAGTTTTAGTACAAATTTTTTTATTTTTGTACTAAAACTTCGTTTTAGAAAGCAATAAAAAAGCCGTCCCAAACGAAGCCTTAATCTCTAATTTCTTCCTACACCGTTAATGAAATATGGAGATTTTAATGGCTACTGCTTCAGGAGGGAGAGCTCCATAAAAGGAGAAAGAAATGCATCAGGCCTTTTGAATGTGAGGAGAGTCAGCCCAATGTTTGGACCCCTAGATCTGGGTCAACTCGGGTTCGGAACCCGAACCCGATCCATCGACTCGTTTTGACACCCGTAATTTTAGGTTAATTAAGACAAACTCACACACACATTATATACGTAAGCATCGAACCCAATATCTCTTGGTTGATAATTAATTGGGGGTGATGCTTTAATTTTTGACTTGCTTTTCGGTTTTACTAATCCAAGGCTGAAATTACAGCATTTGTATTACAAAATATAACATTTCATAAAATAAAAGGATGATAATGATATGATATATATGCTATGAGTTGTGATACTAAATCAATCAACTACAAACATTACTAAAGTTCAGCACTCTTTGGACTCACCTCAATTCTTTTTCTTCAAAAATTAACATTCGGTTGAAATAATCATCCATTGACATTATTATTTTTTAATTTTCATTAAGAGTTTATAATTTGGGATTAATTATTTTAATAAGTTATTTTTGCTGTAGAAATTACTTTTAAAATTATATTTTTTTATGTTTATAATTATAGAATTAGAAACTGGCCATTTCTTTGTTATATACTTATATATGTAAGCAAATAATTTTTGGATTTGATAGATATAAGGCGTGGGAATGACAAGCGGCATTATCCGTCAGAAATTTTGGAGGAAGAGATAACCAATATGTCATTGGCAATTTTGTTGGCCTATATCTTCTTCTTCTTCTTTTTTTTAAACAAAATTTTTTATTGCAACAAAAAGGGGATTACAACAAGCTAAGAAGCAGAACGTGAAAAGCTACAGAGGTACAAAAAGAAGGGGGGATTAAACCCATCAGGCTTAGCATTGGCAGAGGCTTCCAACCAATCCAAAGCCAGGCACGGGCCATTCAGTTTGGAGTAAGAGAGAGATCCGAAGCGAGCAAAAACTGCACCACCAAAGATTTCCACGAGCCATGGCTAAAGATAGGCGAGCCCTAGCCACATCATTGCCCACAAACCATAAATCATAGCCACAAAAATGAAATGAAGATCCAGCAAACAACAAGCATAGAAAGATAAACCAAAAACCAACCAACCAATGCAGCCCACTGCCACAGCTCAAAAGAGACAATAAGCCTTGACTACTCATACAGAATGCACCACGTCAGCGATACTGAGCTACGATACCAGAGCTCCATACATACACACTTGACTAATCAACCATGCAATTAAAATCGCATGCTCTCGAAAAGCCACTTAACTACTCATATGCATGAAGTCGTTTGGTTGCGCCGACTCAACGCTGCACAAAGTCAAGTAATGCAAATGAGGCATTGCATTATATATTACTTTGTAATGTTTATTATTCACTATAAATGCTTAGTTGCTTACTCCTTTCAAATAAATTATTCTATAATGGTTTGGAAATTATCTTACCCATTGAGCCTAATTTTCAATTAATTAAAAAAAAAAGTATTAGAATTTTCTAACAAAAGTTGAATATTTAATTCCTCGTGTAATAATAAAATTCAAATTTGATATAGACATTTTGAAATTGGAAAATATTTTAAATTTGACAAAGTCATGTAACTTATGACTTTTTCCACTAATTATTTGAATGATTATATATTAGAAAAATAAAAATAATAATACTGAACAAGAAATTAATTAAATTTAGGTTAATAAATTATAATGCATGAAATGATAAGTGATGGTAGGCTCATACATGCATTATTTTCTAGCACTGCAAACATTGCTTTTTATTTTTATTTTTTTGAATACCATAAGAAAATTTATTTTATATTTTGGACCAAATAAAAAATTTAATTATTGTACTTTTGTTAGATGTCCTCAAGAAATTCTTTTTTTCTCAATCTATCAGTTGAGGCATTCTCAAAGTCAAAGTAAAAAAAAAAAAAGATTAATTTCTAAATAAATTTTATGACAATTAGTAGAGATGATTAGAGGTTTTTACCAATATGTAAATGAAATGATGCTTTGCAAAGTCTATAAAGTTGCCAATATAATTTTTTAAATAATGAGGAGCAAAATATAAAGTTAATATAAATAAATTTTAATGTCATAATCTTAATAATATTTTTAATCTTTTAATCAATTAAATTAATTAACAATCATGTACTATTAATATCTTGTACAAAGTTGCTACAAAATAAATAAGTTATGAAATTTAATTTTTAACATTAAAGGAAAAAAAAAGTTTGTAGTAATTCACAATAATATGGGAGCATGAAATTGGCTAAACGATTTTTTTATCAGTGAAAATTTTGAAGATAAAATATTATAAAATTATTTTTAATAAAATGGATTTGAAAATTTTGGTGTTAAATTTGATGGAAAAAGAGAGAAATTAAAGTTTCGGCGAATTTATTTTTTCCTTGATGGTTCATTATTTATGCATTCTGAATTCGTTCATTTTTATCGAATTCTAAAAAATATCACAGGCTGACTCCACTATTATTGCTAGCTACCACGCAGCACCACCGACCATTGATTGTCACTATCATTAGGCTTTATATTGCATTTGTTTTACTTCAAACCAATAAAAAAAATGAAATTGTCTTCATTTATTTTACATGCATTGCTACACATTTCAAATTTTTTTAAATTAGAAAGTTTTATACTATAAATTTGCTTTAGAAATCAATAAAAAAATCATCCTAAATGAAGCCTTAGGCTTTTTTTGGGACAATTTTTTTTTTAAAGAGCTTTCTACTACAAAAAATTCTTTTATTAGAAAATTTTATACTACAAAATCGTTTTAAAAAATAATATGAAAGCTGCCCCCAAATGAAACCTTAGACTAATCAATGTTGGGGATGTAATCATGCAGGAGATTATGAATAATCTCATAGAAGATATTGTTTGTCCCAAATCAAATAGTATTTTATTACTGGACAATCTTAAGTAAGTAAATATAATTGAACAAATTTGCTAAGATGTAGAAGTAGGTAGAGGTAAAATCCAATTTTAATTCTCCATGGTTTCTATGACTCAAACATTCTCTCTTTTATGAAAAAAAAAAAAAGGCAAATGAGCCAAGAATGTCACTAAGGAATAGGGGTGTAAACGATTCGAGTTAAGCTTGAGTCATCCATGACTTGAGTTCGAGCTCGAGCTCAAGCTTTAGTCTACGAGTTCGAACTCGAGCTTTATTCTACGAGTTTAAGCCGACTCGTTTGTAACGAAAGAGAGAAAATGATTATTATTTGAATAATTATCATAATAAAATAATAAAAAATTAAAAAAATAATAAATCACATAATATGAAAAAGTGAGATATAATACTTAAAACAAATGAGAAATTATGATAAAGAATGACAAATTAGAAAAAAATAATAATAATGAATCACTTAATTAAAATATATAATCTTTAAATACTTTTAACAATATTATCCTTAAAATCATGAATGCTAATTAAACAAATTTCAAGTTATCACAAGTAATTTGAATAAATTGTACAAAAAGCCATACAATTACTTTGGAGATGACAAAAGGCTGGCTCGGGGTTGGATTATTTTGTGCGGATGACGAACGCTGTCCGGAGACCAATCAAAATTTGCCACATCACCCTTTTGCTGTGTACTGCGGCTTGGTACTGCTCGGTACCGCTTTGTACCACTGACATGGCTGCATCTTATTCATCTCCGAACGTGGCTGCGCCTATTGGAGAGGAGGTTTCCCAAGCCACTTTGCACGAAACCCAGTGCCCTTACAATCAGCACAGCACACAGATCCCTGCAACAAATACATTATTTACACTTTATACTAAATTTTGTGAACATGTAATTTTAAATTCAAATGCGGGTAATTCATGCCATTCATTCATATCAAAAGACCATTACAGTAAATTATAAAATAATTATATATATATATATATATATATATTCTAAAACTATATAACATTTTACAATCCTTTATTTTTACATCTCTCTCTCTTCCTCATTCCCTTATTAGAAAGAAGATATAAAAGCACCCCACCAGCCTTATACCTAGGTTGGTGGGAGAACATGGTTGGGAACCCTCCAACCCATATTTGAATCCCCTCTCATGCGGCACGACCTCTTAAGTGGAAGAAAATAACTACGGGTCCTGCACCTGTAGGGTTGGTTGCTGCTAGACTAGCCGAGGAATTAGTTATGCCGCCAAACTCCTTAGATACCTCCGTTCCAAAAAAAAAAGAGAGAGAGATAAAAGCAAAAGGGAAAAAAAACACTCATTTGATAGAGACAATCACTTATTGTCTCTATCACTCATTTGTCTACCCATTTATTTTTATATTTCTCTATTACCAAACGTGAAACATCTGCCTAATATATTCTTTCTTTCTGGACAAAGACTTTACCTTCCCCGCACAAATCACGCAGCTAGTGTTTCTGGAAGGAACTTCGCAGAGCACGTTGTTGCCGATGACAAAAAAGCCAGTTCCCCCACACCATTTGCATTCAACACACCCTTTTGATGCACATGAAGAACAAGCAACAGGTCTTGGTTGCTGCAAGACAAATGAAGCAAATTATTATAGTTTATAATGAATACTTTGAAATAAATGAGGTTGAATGATAGGTAAAAGGAGGTGTTCCACCTGATTTGTTAAGAGTTCAGGTTATGTCTGTGTGGACTATGAGCACAAGAGAGCTAAGGGTCTATTTGGTATAGCTTTTCTCACTGTTTCATTCAAATGGATCCTAAGTATATTGGAGCATAGGCTCACAAGAGAGAGAGAGAGAGAGAGAGAGAGAGAGATTCCAACCACACAACAATGTCTCTATCTACAATTGCATTGAATATGCACTTTACAATTTATGTCAAATTGAGAAAATGTCTTAGTATCTCACATTTTCAAGGAATTTCATCATCCTATTGACAGGAGAGGAATGGTTCGAACTTCAACAAAATAAGCTTACAATTCTTCTGTTTGAGATATTCAAATCCCACACCTTTCTCCTCTCAGGAATTCTTCTATTTTGGGCTCGTTAGAAATTCCGAATTATGTCTTATAAACTGATGAAGTTGTTAAATCATCATTTGGTTGGATCTAATTATCCATAAATAATGGTTTCAAACTTTACAAATCTTTTCAAAACTCCCACAAAAATAATTATTTCATTTTTCGCATTCAAAATAACGAACAAAATCATTACTTTTCAAAGCATATTTTCTACATACAAGCAATCAAATTAGTTCTTCAGAAGATGCTAAAACCACTAGAATTTGGTGGCCTTTTCAGTTCACTCATTCGGGCATTTTGGAAATTTCCGTCAATTTAAATGTTCTATGTTTTATGTGAGGCTTGTAAATACAAACTCTTCATATGTAGCAATAGTATTTGATTTTACTCTTTAACTCAAAAATTTGATTCCTTATAATCCCAGCCCAAACCTCCCTTAGTTTTAAAAATTTATACCAAAAGACTTCTAGTTCAATTATTTGGCATTCACTTAGCAATTAGAATTACATTAAAATGATTTTACAACCAAATTACTCAAATATTTTCCAAAATTCTCGAATATCAATAAGTATCTCGTCTACAATTAAAAATTTTAATTATGCACTTTTACGAAGCTAATTAAACTTCATTTTTTGAGTTGATATATAGCATACTCCATGATTCTTTTTATTTTTTTTTTTTCCTTGGATATCTTACAAAACAACTTCTTAAAATGATATTTCTATCTTTCTTTAATAATCTTCATCTTCAACTATGAAAAATTTATCTTCACACATAAAACATCTAACTTGATCAAAATAGTATATGTATTGCCATACCAATCATCAAGCATTGATCAAAACAGTATATCTTAAAATGATATTTCTGTCTTTCTTTAAATTTCATTTTTCATAAAACCTCATTTTCTCCTTACTCCATAGTATATGTATTGCCATACCAATCATCAAGCATTTTTTTATAATGATATCAACTGCCTCGAATAACTCATTCAAATATTCCCCCATCAAATTGGAGATCGAGGTAATTTATCCTACATCAATTGGTATCAACATTCCTACGTTATGCATTGCTTTGATTTTATTATTTAAAGACCTTTTTTTTTTCCTTAATAGCATTTTGCACTTCCCCACTCCATTTGCAAGTCTCCTTTACTGCTAATTTCTAGATTCTCTTAAAACTTTAATGGAAATTTCTTAATGCAATTAGCCATTAGATTAGACATTAAATGCTCAGAATTTGTTTATTAAGTTATTAAAAATACCATTAAATTTCAGTCAAGGCACCTTCCAATTGGCCAAAGGTAGAATTTTAGCTCTTACTAAACCAACTGCCCCATAAAAGACTCGAGAATTTACAGGTGAACTCTAAATCAGGCATGATCCAATAATAGGCTATAACACTAACCCTCCCAACCATCACAAATTTTAACCAACTATATGATGGACCGGTTCACCCGGTCCATCCTAGACCCGTGTGGGTCTATAGGAGGCGGGCGGACCGGCTGGACAAAAAAAAGGGGGCCCACCCACTTAAGTGGGGGTAATTTGGGGATGTGAGGGACTTTTAGATTGTATGAAGGGGGCCATTAGGGTTTTATTGGGGGCATTATGAAAAGTGTATTCTCTTTCTAGTTTTCTTCTTCTAGTTTTCTTCTTGTTCTTTTCTAGGGCTTTCTTGTGGGAGATCTTGTCCTTCTCGAAGTGGACAAATTTATCTTGTTTTCTCTTGAATTTCTAATGCAAAGGTTCTTATTTTTCATCCCAACAATCTTGTGATTATTTCTCTTTGGTTTTGGTGGAGAACTTCCTCTCTTTTGGGGAAAATTAGGGCAAAATCGAAATTGTGAAACCCTAGGGCGTATCACTATATTCAATTACAATTTGGTTACCAAAAAGCTACATGCTGTAAACTATTTCCACAAAAAGCAATACAGAATAAGCTTATCATCAAAATCATATCTTACTAAAAATCACAAAATTCTCTACAATCTCCAAAGTCAATAGATGAAAAAATAATAACTAGACTTACAACTTGACGCTTATATACAACAACAACAACAACAACAAGTCTTTGTCCCACTACGTGGGGCCGGCTACATGAATCCTTTTTCGCCATTATGTCCGGTTAAAAGTTAAATTTTTATTTAAATCTAATAAATAAAGATCATTTCTAATATTTTCTAACCAAGTCTTTTTAGGTTTACCTCTACCTTTATTAACATAAGTCAAATCTAATACCTCAACTTTCCTAACCGGGTCATCAGAAGGCCTCAGTTTAATATGACCAAACCATCTAAGGCGACTCTCTCTAATATTATCTTCCACTGGAGCTACTCCAACCTTTTCATGTATATGCTCATTTCGTATCCTATCTCTAAGGGTCAAGCCACTCATCCACCTAAGAATCCTCATCTCCGCAACACTTAACTTAGTATTATGCTTCCCTTTTAATGGCCAACATTCGACAACATAAAGCATTGCAGACCTCACCATCATCTTATAGAATTTTCCCTTAAGTTTGTGGGGGACTTTTCTATCGCACAATAAGCTCGATGCATTCCTCCACTTCAACCATCCAACTTGAATTCTGCTGATAATATCCTCATCAATTTCACCATCACTCTGAACAATAGATCCAAGATATCTAAAACATGTACTCTTATTAATGATTTGATCGTCCAAAGTCACAATCCCCTCACTAGATCTATTGCTATTAAAATTACACTCCATATATTCAGTTTTAGATCTACTCAACGAAAACCTTATACTTTAAAGTTGACCTCCATAATTCAACTTTACCTTCAACTCCCTCTCTAGTCTTATCAACAAGAAGAATATCATCAGCAAAAAGCATACACCAAGGTACATCCTCTTGGCAAATGTCTATGAGAATATCCATGACTAAAGCAAAAAGATATGGACTTAAGGCTAATCCTTGATGTAATCCAACTGAAACAGAAAATACTTGGTCAAACCACCTTGTGTTTGAACACAAGTAATAGCTACTGCATACATATATTTAATAATTTGAATATAAGCATTATTAACTCTTCTTTTTCAAGAACTCTCCATAGCACTTCTCTTGGAACTTTATCATATGCTTTCTCTAAATCAATAAATATCATAAGTAGATCTTCCTTATTCTCTCTATATTTCTCCATCAAACCTCTCAATATATGTATGGCTTCCATAGTAGACCTACACGGCATGAATCCAAATTGATTTTGAGAAACATTAGTATCACGCCGCAACCTATGCTTCCATAACTCGCTCACATAGTTTTAAAGTATGACAAATTAACTAATTCCTCTATAATTCGCACACTCCTGTGCATCACATTTATTCTTAAAAATAGGAATTAACAAACTCATTATCCACTGATCTTGCATCTTTTTAGTCTTCAAAACAGTATAAAAAGTTTAGTAAGCCAAGAAATTCCTTCATCTCCTAAGCATTTCCACATCTCTATTGGAATATCATCAGGTCCAACAGCTTCTCTACACTTCATTTTCTTTAAAGCTTCTCAAACTTCGATTTTACTTATACGCCGATAAAAACAAAAATCTTTATTTTCATTTAGGGTGATAAAGTCACTAAAGTCAGTCGTATTTTCACAATTTTTATTAAAAAGTTTAGCAAAATACCTCATCCACCTTTGTTGAATATCATCTTCTAAGAAAAGTACTTTTTAATTTTCCACCTTATATACTATGCAATCCAAAAGCTCAACTTTTAACATATGTAACTATCTAAGTGAAGTGAATAAGGTCAAAGAGAATTTCGAGGTGAAGCTTATATGACTATTTGATCAACAAACCATTTTGCGTTATACGGTACTTACATGACGATGATAACTTCGTAATATAGCAACAGCACATTTTAACATTTCTTGCATAATCTTCAAAACCTCAAAATAATAGGCATCCTTTCATGGAGATTATTATATAAGATATGTGTCACCTACATCTTCAATGTTCAAATACAAATAAACAGTTTGCAGCAACAATCCGCGTAGAAAAAACAGACACAAAACCTGTCTATCACCTTTCCTCATTGAAATAGCCATCAATGCAAACATATCCCAATCTCATCAAAATCCCTCATTTTCAATAGCGCAGATAAATTCACATCCCCAGAAATCGAGAAATCGAGGAAAGAATTTATGTGAATAGGAACAGACAAGCACCTGAGAGATTAGCCACGCCTGCTCCATACGCTTGACGAAATCAGAAGAGTTCTCGTAGGAATCCACCGCTGAAGCCCTTACCAAGAGGGATGTAAAAGCCTTGCGGTAACTTTTAGAAGGAAAAGCTCCGCTACCCGCGGCAGCTATGGCGAGGGAATATCTTCTAAGAGGAATAGAGAGGCAGAATAATTTAGAACCTGCGATGGAAATGGCGGCACCGCCACCGGAACAGGAACAACCGCAGATCGCCGACATCTGTGCGCTTCCGTCTGGGATTCTCTCCTCTAGGTCCGCTCGTTGGGGCTGCGGCTACCTTTCGCTGATACAGTGCGGGCGGGTATGCTAACCCGCAAGAGCATTTTATCCGGCTGGATTTCCCTTTAAATATTTTTCAATTTTAAAAAAAGACGTATTATTCCTCTAAAAGTCAAATTTGGTATTTATTCAATTTACTCATGTTATTAATGTTGGTTCAAATTAAGAAAATTAATAAATATAATAAAATTTAATTTTATATGCCACATTTTAAGAAATATATCTCTTATTTTAATTTTTAAGAAATTTATTTAAAAAATTGGTTTCGAAGTAAGATATTCTTTATTATACTCATTTGACTCGTCTTATAGGAGGGAAGATGTTCTTACCTTTATGCTTCAAAATTCATCATTGTTGTTATTGTTATTTTGTATTTATTAAAGTTCTTCACTTACGAGAGATCATACAGTTAAAGTTGGAGATTTTATTTTGTTTATTGGTAACTTTAGAATACAAGTATGCTATTTATGTAGTTTCCATTGTATTTAGTATAGATTATGTTATTATAGTATATCTCTGATATAGAGCTAAATTGAGTATCAAAAGTGTATTTTGATATTTGTTAAAACAATTGTGTGAAGCATGCTCGAATATTATTCAAACCATGATCAAACTTGATTATATTTTGTTCGTTCTTTATTTGAACCATATTTGAACATTATTCGATGTATGTGATATGTTCAAGTATTAACTAGACAGATATTTTAACTCGATTTAAATAAGATAAGATCATGACTTTAAATATTATTTGATTATATATTGAATATATTTGACATCAGTTCGATCATTATTTGATTGCTTTTTAAAGTTGAAGTTTCTAGAAAGAGTCGAACATGTTCGAACTCAAAACAGTTTGAACTCACGTTCGGAACTATTTCAAAGTCAAGTTTGAACCTTATATGAATTAGAATCAAATATGGCCATGTTCACTGTTTCGCGCATCAACTATAATTATGTTTGGTGACAGTGGCAAAGAATCATTGGCAAGTTAAACATCTTTTTGAGTTCACATCTAGAATTATTAATACTATCGGCGCTTCTTGTAAGAGATCGGATGCTCTTAAAAGTATTCAGCATGATAAAGTACTTCTACATCTTAAAATTGGCAATCTCATAAGTTGCAAAGGTTTGAATCAAGAGACAAATTTGCAGAAATCTAGTGATACTCGTTAGAGTTCACATTTTCACTCTTTGATTAGTCTTATGCGTATGTATGCTTCTGTGATCGAGGTGCTAGAGATTATTAAAGAAGAAGGGGTTCATGATCAGCAATCGGTTGAAGCGGGTGTTCTGATTGATATAATGGAGTCTTTTAATTTTTTTTTTTTACAATACATCTGATGATTGATATATTGGGTATTACGAATGAGTTATCACAATCATTGCAGAGGAAAGATCAAGACATTGAAAATGCGATGAAATTGGTTCAAATTTCTAAACAACGACTGCAGCTACTAAGGGAGAATGGATGGAATGCTTTACTAGATGAAGTGTCACGTTTTTGAAGTTGTTATTCCAAATATGAATGAAACATACAAAACTCGTCGCCGATCAGTGAAAAGAGGTGAAGATAAAACAAATCTACATCATTATCGTGTTGATCTGTTTTATACTGTAGTTGACATGCAGCTTCAAGAGCTAAATAATCGCTTTTCTGAATCAAGTACTGAGTTACTTCTTTATGTGTCATGCTTAAACCCAAGTGATTCATTTCATGCTTACGATGAGAGGAAATTGATATGTCTAGCAGAGTTATATCCAAGTGATTTTTCTATAATTGAGGTTGTTGTTCTTAAAAGTCAATTATCAACGTACATTATTGATATGCGGACCAGTGAAGAGTTTTTCTCTCTAAGAAGCATTGCTGATCTTGCAAAACAGATTGTTAAGTTCAAGAAGAATGACGTGTATCCTCTAGTTTACATACTTATTACTTTAGCATTAACTTTACCAGTTGCTACTGCTACAGTGGAGAGAGCATTTTCAGCCATGAAAATTATTAAACATCGATTGCGTAGTAGGATGGGTGATGATTGGCTGAACGATTGTCTTGTGCCTTACATTGAAAAAGATGTGTTTGATTTGATTCCCAATGAAGATGTAATCCAATATTATCAAAAGATGCAAAATAGATTGATAAAATTGAAATGTTTTTTTTTTAATTTATCTATCATATTGGAATAGAAGACTTCATTTTGAATTATATTCTCATTTTGTTTTTTTTTTAATATTTGTCTATTAATAAGAAAATTTTGCCCCCCCTAAGATGAAAGGCTGGTTCCGCCCCTGTTTGTAAAACATGTAATTCAAATATCTATGTAAATTGGAGAATCTTTGCTCTTTCTTCCTTAAATTTCACCCAAGTTGAACCAAGAAGGGAATGAATCAGCTTGTGGGCAAATTATTATGTGCGGAAATCTGACTCAAGCTTGGGCTCGAATTTGCTGCGTTTTTACTGTGTCTTTGATATATTTTTGCAAAATGACAGCTAATACAAAATTTTAATTACATATTAGCTGATTTTTGCTGTCTTTTTAATGAGTATTTTAAAAGGGCAGCAAAATAATAATAAATATTCAATGAGTAACATATTTAATATAATTTTGCTACGCTTTTATAAATAATTAATAAAAAAATATTTAATATATAATTAAAATTATGTATTAAGTGAACTTTTAAAAAGAAAAGGCAGAAAAGCACATTAAAAAATCACAATAAAAGAGCAGCAATCCGACACAGAATAATTTGCCCAGCTTGCGGCTCTGCTTCGTCCCATCGATTCTCCTCTCCTTCTTCTTCTCCTTCTCCTTCTCCACACCCGCCTTTCTCTCTTCGTCTGCGGTTCCATTCTCTGCGACTCCATGTGCTCGCAGCCATGCCTCCATCTTCGATAAGCCAAGAACCAATTCCGCATCTTGATATCCCCTTCCACCTCCGCGGCGTCCCATTCGACTCCAGTCTCGCTACCCCCTTCTTCCCTACTAAGTCTCTCTCTTCTGCATCTCGTCTCTCCAACTTTCTCTACTTGAGTGGTTCCCCCTTGTCTTTATCTTCGCAGAGGAGAACTCGGAAGAAAGGCGTCTCCTGCGGTCTTTCTTTCAGATGTTCTAAGTTCCAGTCGTTCTGGAATGAGTACAATAGGTTGCTTCAGTTGCACTGCGGGTGGGGGCCAGTTGGTTTTGCCCCGACCGGGATCCCCTCAAACGAGATCAATTCTGTTGAGGAGGGTGGCAATGGCGTTTTTGAGGAGGAGGTCTTGCCAATTAATGGCGTAGAGGTGGAATCCCCCAAGAAAGTTCTTATCTTGATGAGTGATACTGGTGGTGGACACCGTGCTTCGGCAGAAGCCATAAAGACAGCTTTCAATCAAGAGTTTGGTGACGAGTATCAGGTTTTTTTTGTTTTTTTTTCAGAATAGTTTCACTTTCTCTTTTCAGCCTTAATCAGTTATTTGGTGCGTGAGAGTGTGAAATAGAATTGATGAATTTAGGGATTATTTCTATGTGGATTGAGCTAGTTTGAAGATTATTTGTTGGATTATGGTTAGATCTTCCTAGTTTTAGTAGAAAAATGATAATTGATTGGTCTTTATATATTCCATATTGTCATCTTCCCTGGCTAGGCACATATATAGAGCTATGTGTGCCTGTTATTCTTCCAAAACTTCAGTTAGAGGCTGTGGATTAGAGTTACATCTCAAGATTAGAGAAGGACTGGAGAAGCAGGCCAATCATTTTCTTGTAGGCAGGTGGGTTTAGCCAATCTACGCTTAGGATTGTTTTGTTGACCATAACTACTGTGTCTGCCCTCCTGTGTAACTCTTCCCTTATGTAATTACTTGATGATATACTGAACTTTTTGAGATTTGATTCCGTAGTTAATTAATTCTTTGTTTTCTTAAATCTGACTGAAACCTTTTGATTTGTTAAATTAAAAATTTTTATTTGATTGCAAATTTGAGTTCACCATTTAGTTGCATCTGTATTACATTGGCACTGATAAAACTGTTGATGTCATTCATAGTATTTTTCCCAACTTTGTTGTATTATTGTCAGAAGAGAGCTAATGATCTTTGTTATTCTCTTCTTTCATTTCTCTAAAAAGGGCTTAATCATCCTTTATTTGATAGTATGAACTTTATGAAGTATTTCACCTTCTCTTTTGGGAGCATTGATGATTTATGTTTGATACAGGTTTTTGTGACTGATTTGTGGTCTGATCACACTCCTTGGCCGTTTAACCAATTACCGAGGAGTTATAACTTCTTGGTGAAACATGGAACTCTATGGAAGATGACTTATTATGGAACTGCCCCTCGTTTAGTGCATCAATCCAATTTTGCTGCTACATCGGCCTTCATAGCTCGGTGAGCATTTGTTTATCTTCACTTGATCCTCCTTAGCCATTCAGTTTTCATGGAGTCATGGAAAAAGCAACTACAATCTCAATGTCTTGACTTTTGTCTTGTTGCAAGTTTAGATTGCTAAATTGTCTTTGTACAATCAAGGTGGAAAACCATTACCTTGGAGATGCTTTGATATCCACTTTTATTGAGGTTTTAAATCAATGGTTATTTGCTAATTTTCTTCCTGTAATCTGTGCAGAGAAGTTGCAAAAGGACTGTTGAAATACCAGCCAGATATTATTATCAGTGTACATCCGCTGATGCAACATGTTCCCCTTCGAGTCCTAAGGGCAAAAGGTCTTCTTGACAAGATTGTTTTTACAACAGTAGTTACAGATTTAAGCACTTGCCATCCAACATGGTAGGATGATCTAGTAGCAAAAAACTTCATCTAGATGGCGCAGCTTTTCTTCCATTGACCTGTATCAACTATGTTTTGTCTAGTGATGAAGTTCACATTATTCTTCTAGGTTTCATAAATTAGTTACAAGATGTTATTGCCCTTCTTCTGATGTGGCGAAAAGAGCGCTAAAAGCCGGACTAAAGCCTAAACAAATAAAAGTTTATGGTCTTCCTGTGCGCCCTTCTTTTGTTAAGCCTATTCAACCAAAGGTATGTTTGCTTCTTTTCGACTTATTGATCTTGTCTCAACTAGACATTATTCTTCGTTGTGTTTTTACTTTTTATCTTGATAAAGTATTTTGGTCTCCTGGATAGGATGAGCTGAGAAAAGAATTTGGAATGAATGAGGACTTACCTGCTGTATTATTGATGGGAGGAGGGGAAGGCATGGGTCCTATTGAGGCTACGGCACGAGCGCTTGGGCAGACATTGTATGATGAGAGTCTTGGAGAACCAATAGGTCAAATGCTTGTGGTTTGTGGACGCAATAAAAAATTAGCCAATAAATTACTTACAATTGATTGGAAGATTCCAGTTCAGGTATTTTGCATTTTCAGTTTAATTCTCTTCTAAATGTTTAGCTTGATATTTCATTTCAAAATTTTATAGAAGATTGATGCATGTTTGAGAGTTAGTTTAAAGAAGTTTCTCGGTGAATTGCTTCTAACTTGGGTCATGGAGAAAGGTGTGAATATTGAAAAATGGCATTAGGATTTTTCTTGATTCAGGCTCTCATTATTTTAAGTCCTATTTGAGACTCTTTTTTTTGTTCTTTTTAAAATAATTTAAATGGTAAAAAATATATATTTGTTTAATCTTTTTTGCTTTTTATTTTTAAAATCAAACTTTTATTTTTCTTTTTAGAAACATAAAAAACAAGTTTTATGTGCCAGATTGTATAGTTTTATGTTGTCAAATAAAGCGAATGATTGTTTGTTAAAATCATATTTAGATTGTTATTTAATGCTTTGTATGAGCTGTGATTGCTGATATATAACAATTGTTGTGGCATTGATATGAGTAGAATGAATAATCAAAGTCGATATTATTATTCATTCTTATAATTCTGATAAATATTCTAATTTTAATTACTATGTAAAAGTATTTTAAAAATTGTTTATATACATTTTACCCCAATGTGGTTTAAAAATATACTCATGCCCCCAAGTATTTTTGACAAAATTGTCATGATTATCTTTTCCATTACAAATGACAGAAAAAATATTATTCTTGACAAATGTAATCTCACCACCTTTCTTTTCTTCTTTCCTTCAAAAAGTATTTTTTTTCTTCCCAAGAAGCTTGTAGGACCTTCTCTTACCCCTCTCCTCCGCCTTGGTGAAGGTGCAACAAGCAGCAAGCATTTGACAAGGGTGATGACGACGAATAGTGATGATAATGACGCAAATATTCCTATTGATCAATTTGCAACTTGCCAACCTTCATCATCATCATAGATCATTAAAACTCTTATTTTTTGTTCCTCTTTGGCTTTAAAGACACAATCGAGGCAATGAAGGATAGTGAGAAGATGTTGGTGAATGCACACCATGAGTTAGAGCCTATCACATTTGGACTCGTAAGAGAATGCTTGTATATGGTCTTTCACTTCCTTTGCTCCCTCGTCAATGTTGTTTAGACCATCAACCTCAACACCAACATCACCAAGGATGTTCATCTCTTTCCTCTTGCACCCGAATTCCCCTCCATGATCCACTATACTCTTTAGTTCCTTTTCATCAAAGGCGAGTCGAATGGTCTCCTAGACAGCCAGGCAAGACAAGGAAACAATTCCCGAAACATCTCCTAGTCGAGCATCATCACTAATGCCTTGCCTAGATAAGCACCTTGGTGTTAAGGAGCTCGAGTGCTCACTTGATGCAAACTATTTTATCATATTTAAAGTATATAAAATCATATTATGAGATGAACAGCTACAAATCTAATGATACGGAATAAATTATGGGTGATAAACAATAAAATAGATAATAAAGCTACCAACTTATTATATATTTGTTTAAACTTGAAGCTAAACTTTCGAGTCTTGTGGGCACCTTGTTTTAGATATTGTGTTTGACACAATTTTGTTATTTTGGTATTTGAAATGACAAAATGAAATTGTTTTTATTTTTTTTCTGTTGGATTTTAGAATTTACTGCGATGATTAACATATTGTACACTCCAGTAATATTCATCTTAATTAAATAAGTTAATTCTTAGCGGCTCACTTAGCTCAGCTAAGCCCCTAGGCTGGTGCATAGTGCCTTGGGCATTTGGCATCCATGTCTCCTTGAGGCACCTAATATCTATAACAACACAGCTTTTCATTATCTACAACACCACTTTATGGGACAAAAAAAAATCTTCTTAGTTCTCTCCACAATCCTGCATAGAAAAGATATTTGTGACGCTTTAGTCAGAAATACATGAGTTATCCGCATGGGTTTAAGTGCTCATTATGATTACCATTGAGGGTGAACTGTAATTAATTAGATAAAAAGATAAAAGTTTATGAAAGCTATCTAAGTTATTGTTCTAAAAAAATGTTTTTGGCTTTCATATAAGGTTTTGTTTGGGACAGCTTTCTTACTGCTTTGCTTTTTAGACCACAATCATAATTTTTGTTTGGCCACTTCATTTTTACTACTTTCAATAACTTTTTTGTGCTAGGAAGTTGCTTTCTATAGCAGCTTTAAAAAAAATCTGTTTTCTCAACAACAGTTTTACAACCACTTTTTAAAAAAAGTGCAGCTGTCCCAAATGGATCCTAAATGAACTTTTTCTCACAGTTGCTTTTCCAAAAACTCAAAAACTGCTTCAGTTGATCAAAGAAATAGAAGCATACAACAGAGAGCTAATATCAAAGGGAGCTTAAAGCTTCACCTCACACTGATGGTGGTGACTGAAGCGTTGCTTCGTAAATAGGGATGTTTTATCTAGTAATAAAAACTATCATCCATATCGAGTATAATGTAGTCCTCTCTATCTGCTTCTCGGGCCACAATATATTGTCTATCTGGAAACATGTTCAATGCTTCAAATGCTTAGGTTTTAGTAGCTCTCTAACATTGAGGCTCCTTGTTTTTATTAAAAAATCCTATTTAATAGGTTGTAGCATCATTTAAATAAATGTGGATAAGGTTCATAGAAACATTAGCTTGTGTTGTGTCCACCAAATTCTGGATTGGTTAATGCTGGAACTACGAAAAAGGTCCATGATTTCCTATGAAGTATAAAATATTATGCATTAGTAGCATACCCAGAAAATCCACTTCAAATATCTACCTAACTATGAGACAGGATAAGCTTTGATTTGTGCACATTAGAAGTAGAAATTAGTGAACCTACTTTCTTCTTTCTTTTTTAACCCATTAGCAAGTAAGGATCTAGAGGTGGAGGATGGTAGTGGCGAATCTCTTTATTGATAGCATTATAGGTGGCCATTTAGTTCATGTTGCGCATTCTATTTTGTGTTGTAACATAGCTGGGTTGCAGAAACTGAAATTAGAGGTACATTGTCACTTGGTTCACACCATTCTTTGATGTTCTTTCAAGAAGTACACATAAAATACCCAAAAAGGGATTTGAAACCATGGATTATATTGGATGTTTCGTAGGAACAAATTGATGGCCGCAATGTAATGGTCCTCCATTCTAGTGCCTAATATACTGTTGGAGGGTGAAACTGTTTAAATTCTCATGCTACAAAAAGCCTGTTTGGTTTGAACTTAGGCTTAGCTTGGCGCCGCTTAAGCGCCAAATTGTGATAATGCATTTACCAGACCATCTTTGGCTTAAGCCAAGGGCCCAAGCTTTGCATCTAAACCTGTTTAAGCGGCGCGACTAACCCTTGGCTTAACGGTTTAGCTTAGCCAAAAATCATCCAAATGAAAACTATTAAAAATTTATTAGTATAAAATTATAAAAATCAAGTTTAGGATAATTAAATAAATAATTAATACAATTAATTGATAATTAATGAGTTATTTAGACTAATTAAAGATTAATTAAGGTTTTAGTTGGTTCATTAATATTTCATATGTATTAACTATGATGAACCATGAATAATTAACAGACACATAATCAACCATAAATCAATAATTAATTATTTACATATGTTGATCAAATAATTTATCTTGTTTTACTATTATTATGATAATTAGCTATGGGATAATTAATTTATCACTTTATTGCTAGTAAGAAAAAATTAGTAATGATTTATAAGACCTTTAATTAAGATAAATATGGTATGCTTAAAAGGAGATTAATGTAAATTTAATCAGTTAAGGTTTAAATAATATTTATTATGTATAATTTATGTATAAGTATAAATTACAATAGAGTAATGTGTTAAGCAGATGAGCTTAAGTAAAAAAATGCAATCAAATAGTTATCTCAGCAGACAGTAGCCCATCTTTTTTGCACCAACCAAAGCCCTTAATAATTGCTTGGGGTTGGTAGTAATCCACTAATATTGAATTCCTTTCATTTGTCTTGCTTGACTTGTACCTCTTTGCTGGGCTATTACTAATGCGGACATTAGTCAGAGATTTCGACACGTGTACCATCGATGGAGGCGTAGATCAATGGTCACGATTCATAGTATCTACTTTTGACATATTTGTTGTAATTTTTATTTATGTTATTTCAGTTTCCTAGTCTACCCCTGAGGGTAGCGAGTGTCTTTTGTAGCCCCATGGGCATTTGTGTCTTTTTTTTTCTTTTAGATTTGAGATCCATATATAAGGGTCTTCATACTTTGTATGAGGAGTTAGTTGATGAATGAAAATTTTATCTTATTGTTCTCTTTGTGAGTTCCAAAACTTCTCTAGATCTTTTTGTAAGTTCTTGAGGAGAGAGACTTTAGATATCTTTGTGAGTTCTAGTGGTTGAAGGAGTAAGGTTTGTGATTCTTCCCTCCTTTCTTATTTAGAATCTGAAATTAAACTTCAGATTTATTCTCCCCACAAAATAGTATCACCCTCTCCCCTCTCTCCCTCCCAAACCGTGATCCCCTCTTCCCCCTAGCCCACGACCCCCCAACCTAACCTAGTTTCCACAAAGGAGCCTAGCTTCTCCCCTCCACATCTCCAAGTCGGCCGCCACCTCTACTCTCTTGGGTTGTCTTACCGTGCTCTCTCATCTACATGCAAATTATGTATGGCGGATCCCGAAGTTGACCACAGATTCGTACTCGATGCCCACGGAGACATCCACATCGTTCGATCACCATTCTTCGACGTCGGGTTTGGTTTTGAAGACACCGTTGAAGATTACTTGAACCGAATCCTCCCCCATCTCGTGTACATCCTCGACGATCAATTCTCAGACTATGAGTGGACCATCAATGGCCATCCACCCTTTTCTCCAACTCCCACTTCTCCCCCGGCGACGAGTCCTCTCAACATCACTTGTGTACTAGTGGTATCTCTAAGTGTGCTTACGATTCTCTTCCGCTAACCTCCACTCTCAAGAGTTGATTAAAGGATCTCAAGGTGAAGGATCGATATTTTAAACCAAGCTGCCGGCCACCTCCACCA